ATTAGTTTTTTTAAATGCCTTTGTCTTAATGTCTTTCATTTTTGTAAAGCACTTTGAATTGCCTTGTGTTGAAAGGTGCTATATAAATAAACTTGCCTTGAAATACTTCGGCAATGCAAAGTTCTGTAATGCAGTTCTTTCTGTAAATGGATTGGTTGTGTGTGAGGTTTTCTGTCGCTTGCATTTCAAACTGATTTGATCACTTCATGCATGCAAAAGATGCTGCATCTGTAATTGTTTTACAGTAGATTCACTAAAGGCAACTACCAAACAGAAAACTCTGGAGAGAAATCAAACAGCATCTGATATGTTTTGGTATCAAAGAATTCAAAGATAAAGACAGAAACAATTAGTGGTAGAACTGCTTTGAAACATAAGAACGTGCAATCAACGAATTCAGAAAGAAAAAATGGAAGAGTATCATAAATATAGGCTATGTGTTTGTATTTGTGTGTGACTGTCACCAATTGGGACCAGCACAAGTATCGTGAGCAGCAGTGCATTCAGAAATCTGACACCCCCTCAGAACAAAAGGCAAGTCCTATTCTCTGTTGGAGATGAGCATAAATTCAGAGAAGGCTGCAGAGCTACCAATGTTTATTTCATAGACTGCAAAAAAGCATCACTGGAAATTAATATAGGCCGTTTTGGACACAGCTCCTTATTTAATAATACCACCTTTTAATCAAAATAATTTTAAATCAACAGCAGCAATAATAAAATAAGAGCATCAACCTCCCTTATAAGGTGTTAACAAATAACCGATATAGGCTTTAAGACACCAGCGCTTAGTGGTGTAAAGAAACTGAGCACATACACATTTTACTGTAAAAGTATAATTTTGAGGTACTTTTACTTGAGTATATCCATGTTCTGCTACTTTATACTTCTACTCCACACCTCAGAGGTACATTATTGTTCTTTTTACTATAATGTCTAATAATAACTTACAAAATATAACCAAAAGATGAACAAATTATGTATTATAAGAGGCTAAATAAAGATGAGAAAGGGGGAAATTCACAAGCTAGCAGTGTATAACCTATTTTAAATAGGTCTTACCTTTAGCAAATACTACATTAAAGTTCTTCACTGTGTGTTGTGTGTCATTATTCGAATAATATGATTCTGATATGGGCAATTCTTTATAATGAGTACTACGCTACAGTTACCCTTTTTAGTTTCTTTCAGCTAATTGTATTAATTTCCTTATAGCACAGAACTTCACTATTTTAATTGCTTTCATCAGCTTGTTTGAGAAAAAAACAAAAAACCGGTACGATAAGAAACTGACATAATTACCAAGGTTAGGTAATGTAAAGTAAGGTGTTCAAAAAGTTTGATTGCTTTTAGTTTATTGTTATATTTGACATTCGATCATTCTTGCATTTCTCAGAAGATGTAGGAGTTAGCCTGAATGGCTTATTTTCATCCATAGTTGCGGGTTACAGAGAAGATCTCAAATCATCATTTGAAATGTGCTAATATTAAACTTATCTGTAAGTCCCAACTTATCCAGGCTCCTCAGGCATTCAGTGACACACGGGAAAACCTCTTGGGGTTTTCCAAGAGGTGCCTTCACTCAGGAGGATCTACTGGGAATTGTAGGGTGCCATTTTGTAAAGCATTGTTATCTTTCTGTGGCATCCTTACAAAATGTTAGATTAGATAATTTGACAGCATCAGTTATAGAGTCATAGAAGATCGGGGGCTTTCAGTTTTCAGGTTATTTTCTTGCAGTGTTATAATGTTGTGAATTTTTGTGAAGTCCCAGACGGTTTAGGCTATAAATGCTGTGGTAGGTGAAACAACAAATACCCTTTCTCACTCTCAAAACTTTGTCTGGCAACGCATTTTCAAACAGCCAAAATGGGAGTGAGATTATTGTAATGCATGCAAAGCTTCAAAACGGAACATACAGTCTGCAGTACGAGTCCCTCTTATTCTTTATTGAACAAACTCATAATGAATCAAAACAGTCTTCACTCTTTGACCATAAATGGCACCTGATTCAGTTGTTGTTGGAAAAAAAGAAGTTTTATATTTGATTACTTTTTGGTCTGTTTCATATTCTTGACATGCCCTTTTCACTCCAATATATCACAAGATTGTATCTCACTTGAGCTGGTATCTACCTCTTCTGCTTTAGAGATTACAGCAAACAGAATGTCAATGTGCTTTACCCATTTTAATGTACAGAAAAAAGCAGCACATTAAATAATATTCCAACAACTTTTCCTTTGAAATCCCGACAAAGGACGTTCTAACTTTTTCAATTCTAATAACGGAATTGCCATAACATGTCTTATCATTTGTTTAAGAGTTAATTTCATGGAACATTTGTGTGTTGTGATTCATTATAAGGAAGAGGGAGAAACCGTCTTCCTAAAACATTTGCTGCCATATTTTTCTTTTTATTCTGAACTGTTTTTTAAAGCATCAGCCTGCAGCAGGCGGCATTTAAGCACCTGAAACGAGCCGCCATTATCTGACAAACCAACAAATTGTTTCAGGCTTAGGTGAGGAATAAACAATACTGACAGCTGACAGATGGCTGAGTTGTACCAGACGGCTCTGCACCTTCATGAATAATTTCTCTGCTGTTCATGCTGCCAATGAATTACATTTATGCATTTACAACCAGGTAATTTGGGAAAACAGACACAACCAGCATGCCAGATTTTGTCGAATATATCGCACACCAACAGCTGCATCCAACGCAGGATGAAGGCAGAGACGGGCTGGGAACATTTCACCGGCAGTACATCTGAACTCTCCCACAGCCTCTGGTGTAATTGATTCGGCCTCACAGATTTGATCCACAATCAGCAGGGTTGGTTTTCTTAGCCTTATATGAATCCATCAAAATGTTATTTCATTTAAAACGTTTTTTTTCTTTGATATTTTGGTTTCAGTTCATATTTGGTCTTTCTATTAGGATAGTGTTAAGACACAGAAACTTGCTGAACCCCATGAACTATTCATCTTATCTTCACTGTTGAGCAAGACTTTGAAGTCCGCCTTGATCTAAATGTCAGGGTAGAGCAAATGTCTCAAATAAATGCCTTGTTTACTCCAAAGAGTGTAATTTCCTTTTAGAGAAGATTTAGGCATATATCATAGGTTTTATTATTGTTAAAAAAAATCATGTTAGGCAGTAGAAATATCTTTTTGAAAATGCACTATTCTCCTTATGTTTGCAGTAGTTTCTCTGTAGCATCTTCCCATAAGGTCATAGAGCCCAGGAATCAATTTCATTCACCAAGCACAATGGTATCACAAGGAATTTGTCTCGGTAAATTTGCACTCACATGCTGCAACACGGTTCCACAAGACAGGATTAACTGACTATACCAGTTTAAAAAACCTCACACGTGGTGAAAATACATTACAATTAAGACAGTAAAATAGCATGGTCAAAACTGAGAAATGGTCCCAGTGTTAAAGGTTTAAGTACTGATGCAATGACATAGTGTAGTAAATAGTGTAAATGTACATGCTAGCTATTCAGATAATCATTAAAACTGAGTTTATATGTGTTACTGGGGCTCAACCTATTTCATAATTTATATTCACAAAAGAATGTTAAAGAACCATAAAGACAGAAAGAGTATATAATATAAAAACCAACGCTAACCATTGACATTAAAGAATAGGTCAATGCTACAGCGATAACGCTGCAAAGCTTAATGTAGATGCGTATAAAGCTCAGAAGTAAAAACTTGACATTTAAAACACCAAGACTAAAATAAATAATATGTATTAACAATGGATCAGATGACTATGTCCAAATGTTATTTGCAGTGACAAACTCATAGAGTATGATTAACCAATCCCTTCAGCTCCAAAGTGCACTAGTGTCTTTCAGCTCATGGTCGTGATTGGACGGCCGTTTAACTTTACTGTTTTAGTTCACATTCAATGTTTTCTACCTGTTTTCAGCTAAAAGGTCTAGAAACGCCAAACCACCAGTTAATGGAGTAATTCACTCACAACATCTATCATTAGCTCTCAGTCAAATTGAACAACTGTTTGAAATATGCAGAACATTGCATGCATGCAACATTGTTGACGCATTTGACCTTTTAAACCACCAGAAACAACCTAGCAGACATAAGACATGGAATTTGGATTCCTCATTTGTTTTACTGTTGTTATCAAGGAGCAGTTTATATTGACCGGCTTTAATACAAGTGAGGTATGGATGGCATGAGAAGCTCAAACAAAGAGATCCATTCTCCTTTTCTCCATGTAAATGTGTGGATTAGTTGGGGGGGAAAAGTTAGGCTCTACAGAGAACAGTTGAATCAATAAAACGCAGACTCTTCACAGAAAGAGAGGTAACTCTGCATCGACTACAGGCTGCTCACGCACTCAATCAGATTACCTAATGAAGCAATTATCGATCCAAAGTTGGGCTGCCGCTCCGCACAAGACTAGCCATTAAGCGGATCTTCCTTTCCCTTGGCCGTGCTGAAAATGTCGGGTCACTGTGTTCGCTGCTTGACACAGTTTACTGAAGCCCAATCTTTAGGAGACTAATCACTCGTCTGCCTCCCAGGAGCTTTTCAGAAGGGGCAAACACATCCACAGGATATGGAAGGAATTTGATTTTCACAAACCTGGAGAAAAGCCTAATTAACTTGTGCCATTTTTCCTGCTTTAACTGGGTGAAAATGAAGAATTGGAAAGGGAACTGACCACCGTGGAGCTGTAAATGAACAACATTCTGTTTAGGCCGGAGCCCATGCTGCACATAGCACAGGTTACTGCATTCATCTGACAAAGATGAGTTTCCTTATTTTTTTTATTTGAAACAATCCAATGGCAATTAGTGTAGCCCTGAAACAAGAGCTTGATTTCCTGTCACCAGCAGCATTCCCCAATGTCAAAAATGTGTATTTTTATTGCCTTAGTCCATAGCAACGCGAGGATGTTTGTTTCCATGCTCATAGCAGGAGCAATGTCACACTATGTCGCACAAGATGTCAAAATAGGAGCGTTCATTCTTTCATCAAATAACAGAAAGCTGGAGCTGGAGCAGTTCCTCCAGACATGATATATTGTAATTCATTAGTCTCTGTGTAATCTCTTTCTGCAGTCACGGGGACTGACTGAAAATGCTCTCCTGTGAATACAAAATGAACCTGAACTTCAGCTGCATTTATTCATCTGAATAGAACTTCTACAGCCTGCTCAAAGGTTTTTTGGTGACGTGGATTTGTTGTTCGGTTTTTGTTTAGTCCTTGACCAGTCTCACCTGCAATTCCAATTATTACCAAGATGTTATAGTTTGGTAATTGAACATCACGCTCCAGGCTCGGCCATCGCTCAGTCTCATTCTCTTTCACCCGGGAAAAAAAGCATATAGTTCTTTTTTTGCACTCAACGCACTGAGGCAAGAAAAAATATTGCTTTGCGGTTAACTTCTAATCAAATTGCATTAGGTTTTCACAGCCTGTGCACTCACTCCATTTGCACAAACCATCATACATGAATTTCACACCCAGGGTGAGGAATACTTACTTGTTCACCCGGATAGATTGCCTCCCCCAGCTCCAACACACACTGTGCGCACAAGCAGGCGCACACATTTTGTGATCAGGCAACCATGATCATGCAGTTACAGAACAGGGGTAAATCATTTCATTTGCTGTGAGTGTGGCTTAAATTAAATTTGACATGCTCTGAAGTTTATTTTTACCAACTTGTGAAATGAACTAGCTATAACTGTCACTTTTATGTCCGTAAATCTAGAGCGTGGTATTTAATCAGTAAACAGCCCTCATAGTCACGATCCATTTGTCTTTACTTTAGAAACCTGTCTTGAAACCATGGCATGCTATGCAGGTAAATATAGACAGTTAGTGACTTTACACAGAGCTGAGAACAATTGCGGAGTAGTCAGTCCCTTACATAAATTCTAATTATTAACATAGTAGGCTAATTGTATGGATATTAATTATAGTGGCGCAGCTCTTGAATGTTTTCAGTGAAATAATAGAAAAGTAAGGAGATATGAGCAAGGATTTTAATAATTAATTACAGCTTGAATTATTTATGTGGAAATTCTCTCATTATAATTAACCTTGGACCCACATCCTATAGCCTGCTTTACCATGAACCTTCTGTCCTCCGCCTGTGAGGCACAACGCTTGGTTTCACTTCCTGAATGGAACAGGTCTGGGGCCGTTTGAAAGCATACCTCAGTGTGCGTGTCAGGAGAAATATATTTTTTTCTCAAGTAAAGGAGGTAAGTAGCATGTTTAGCTTGTGAAAGTCACTATGAGTGTACACCTTGTACTTTCCATGCTATAGGGCAGTGGTTCCCAGCCTGGGGGGCGCGTCCCCCTTGGGGGGGCGCCAAAGATCATAGGGGGGGCCCCAGGCCTCAGATGATTTGAGGCCAAATATCATATTTAGACTTTTTTTTTCTTTTTTCTTACATATAATTCTAACGCAACACATGATTGTCACTAAAAGCCTTGTTTCTACATTACAATCAAATATAAAAAATAATTGATAAACTTCCAACAGGAGTCATTTGGGGGGACTCTTGGGAAAAAAAGTTGGGAACCCCTGCTACAGGGGACAGCTGTTACAAGTTACTTTGACATATTCAGATTCAGATATCACACTGTGATAAGCTCATCAAATGTTACTGTCATCAGGCAAAAATAACAAATAAATATAAAATCAAAATGTCAACTTTTCAGGAACTCCGGACGGCCTTGTCTATCTTGATGACACATACCCTTTTCAACATTGAACTGACTTTGAATTGAGGAGGAATGCAATCATTCAGCTCCACTGGAACAATTAAAATCACCCAAAATGGCCAATTTAGGTTGGTAGTGTTGTTCATAGATGTACAGTATTTAAACACTCTGCAATAAGACAATATTTTGGATTAAAATTAAAATGTTGAGTTTATTCATTGAGTATTCAATGCACACAAAAAAGGGTTAGGGCAACTTTATATTTTGATAACTGATTCATTGTTTAAAAGCAGAAATAATAAGACATTTAGATGCAGCTTCTCAAATAAGAGGTTTTTTCGAAGGTTAGAAGACCAAGAGATGCATTCACTCAATGAAATGTCAGATTACTACTACATTTTAGTGCTAAAATATACTAATATGTACTTTTACATCAATATATCTTAAATGCATATTGAGGATTAAGGTGTTTCACCTCTAGGAATTGTGCATGAAACAAGTGTGGAGTTTTTCTGGATTGAAGGTTTCCCCCTGCATGTGTTTGTCTACATGCAGAGTGAGGGTGGATGTTGGAAAGAGAAAAGGGTGGGGTGAGAAAAAAAGAAGTTGAAGATGAGAGTAAAGGGGGTGAGAGGGAGGGAAGAAGGGCTAGGGAGGGGGAGTTAAGGGGGGTTGTCTCAAATAAAAGGGGTTGGGTGCACTTTTGTGTGGGAGGAGGAGGGGGGTGCTGGAGGGGAAAGGAAGGGTGGGCAGATGAGGGGGGGCGGGGCTGCAGACAGTATCCCCCGCCCTCCCTCGCGCTGGTCTCTGCGCCCCTCGCAATTACCTGTTCCACCAGAACTGATGTGAGCGCGAGTTTGCGAGCACATGCAACATTTGGAGAGGAGCCAAATCTGAACTGAACTACTGTCTGTACACTACCAACAACAGGAGCCCGAGAGGACCATTTTAATTGAAGCCAGCTTCAAATATCAACTCAGCCAAGTTTTTTAACAAACCTCTGAAGCAAGCAGCCGACTGAGGATCTGAAAGAGCCGCAAGGATGCACTTGTTGTCCGCCAGCTGTGTGTGTGCCCTCGTCATCTCCGTGCTTCTCCGGCAAGGTAAGCTTTTGTCCCACTATCAGGGCTGTCGTGGTGTTCCCGCGGGTCGCTTCGGTGCTCTGAGCCGCAGGTAGACTGTGTGGAGGAAAGTAGGCACACGCAGGTGCCAACAAAACTTCAGCCCGGGTTATCGATCACATTTACGGGGAAGAGTGGCTCTTCGTTTTAAGTTTAAAGTTAGTGTGCTGCAGTACACTTCAAGTTATTCGTCGAAGAATGTAGTCATGTATGCTTTTTATATGAATATAGTTTGCATGTAAATGTAGACCTATGGAAATATATTTTATAAAGTCATAACAATTTATGATGTGGCGATGTTTACTAAACAAATAGACCAACAATATTCACATTGGTCACTCCTATGCATTTCTATCCATAGCAGGTGTGTTAAATTATGAAACAAAACGTACATATTACATGTATGAAAAATGAGATCAGACAGCTTTTTTATTAACTTCGCTCACCTCAGGAAATGGTACACTTTTGATCGTTTCTATAAAAGGGACATATTTGTATAGCAACTGCTTATATGACATTAACAATTCCATTGTGCCTCCTTGTTTTACCCCCCCTCATGATGGGAGAGGCAGGCAGTGGGGTACATTGGGGCACATGTGCTCATGCCATGATGTCATCATGATGCCTCATTTTTTAAATGTGTTTTCTCTCCTGTTTAACACAGGCTATTGAGCGGAATGATGTTCACATCCTGTCTGATTTATTGCAATTATTGGCTGCCTGTTGGCTGGGGAGGCGGAGCTGCAGGCTCCAACTAGTAATTACGTAGGACAGGTCTCATTTTGGATTTGGGCAGTAGTAATAGGTGGCATAAGCGAATGCTTCCAAGACTTTACAAATAGAAAATGGTGGGGGTTCTTTTAAATATTTGATGTGAATTCAGCAACTTGCCATTAAGAAATTCAAATATGCTTTGAAAATTGATGTTTTGCCACTGTTGACTATGAAAAATAAGGAACAACGATAAGGTACAACGTTTTAAAACAACTCTTAGTGCTTATTCTTCGCTTGGTTTTTATTGTGCAATGGGTGTTGATGCCTCTCTCCAGGCTTCCTTGTTGTCTGCTTTTCGGCCAACAGGTAGCAGCACCATGTGCTCACATCACTCAGCCAGGCCATTAAGCAAAGCTGCACAGGGGCTCAGAGTACTCCCACAGAAAGGAAAGGGGTGGAGAGGTTAATCTCACTGTACTCCCTCTTCCTCGTCACACTACGGTGGCGCCTGTTGTTGTAAATTAACACCATGCAGCACCTATCATTCAGGCTCAGGTGGTTTATTTGTAAGGAAATGAACAGCCCTTTTAAGACGTTTTTACACTGCTGTGCCGCTGCAGTGCCGTGTGCTTGAGACAGGAGGAGAGTGCCCTGAGTTGGTGTTGATGCTTTGACTTTATGGCCATCTAAACTGCTTTGTGTTTAGCAGGCCTCAAGCAATGTTCATGTGTGTTTGCTTTCACAACAGATGGTCAGTCTCTTGCATGTTCTTGCAAAGGGCAAAGGTTTCCTTTCAGCTGTTCCAAAGGAAAATATATATCTACTTAATCCAGGCATAGAAATCTGACTGAAAGAGTTTATTGAGTTTGGGACTTGCAATAAAACTGCATCAATACTTGTAATAAAAAACAGGCTTGTGTCTATTATATTTGAACTGCTGAAAAAAACAACAGCTCCTGGGCTTTAGCCAAAAACAGATACAACTGAAAAACAGAGCTCTGAATTACTCCTAGAACAAATAGTCAGAAAGATGCATCTGTTTTTTTGTTCACTCCCAAGTCCCCACCCTTCCCTCTGACGACACGGAAACCCTGTCTGCTCCTCACAGCAGCTCCACAGAGCTGGTATTACTTGTCAAGCGAGAAGGGGCTCTCCTCTTTGCTAATGGACTAATCTCTTGTGAGGGTCACCCAATTTCACCTGAGATAGATTCGTTCTCCTTCTTTCATGTTCAACTAGCTTATTTCCAGGACTGTCCCAGGAATGTTGTGACGTTAAAGTACTGGAAAAGGAAAGAATGGCTTTAGTTGTGTTACATGGGAGATTGTGTACCACTGTGTATTTGTGTACTGATGCTGTGCAGCTCACATCTTGTTTGTTGGAGCCTTCCTCTTGATGTTTGAAGACTGCTTGTGGTTGTTTCTTCTTTTGAAAAAGAGATTTCTTTGTGACTTGCAAAGTATTTCCTTCATACAAAATTCAGATGCATTCATTAAAAATATGGCAACTCAAACAAAATTTGTTGGTTAGAAATGCTGTATCCGTATTTTGCGCGATCCGATCTTTATGCAATGCATTAAGAGAAAAAAAAGCATTCAAGTTGTCCCTTAAGGTTATTTTTTTTATTGAAATGACCCATTCTATCCAACATGGATAGCTTCACAGCAGCATTGGATCAAAACAAAATAAAGCTTATCAGTGGTTCATCACAAAATAACCATGTTAACAAATTGAGGGCAGATAGTGCAGTAACAAAACAAAAATAACTATTGGAAAGAGGTAGCTTGACTAGCTTCACAAGTTCACATTCAGTCACAAATAATAAAATACAAATTTGGCTTAGTGCATAATTCTAGCCTTAAGACTAACTAGTCTAGTATTAATGCAATGAACAACAGCATCTTAACATAACATGTTAACCTGAACATGAATAAACAAAGTATTATATTTCCATCTTACCGGAGTAACACAATTCAAATATTTTTGTACTCGTCGTGTTCTTGGTGTTGTTTGCTTCTAAGGAGGCGTATTATATTGGTCGTGTTGAACGTAGCTCTGTTCTTTCCACCACGCGGAACCTCCGCCTTGCAAACATTGCATCTGGCTGTTACACTGCCTTCGCTTTCAATTTCCAAACTCCTGACATATTCTCTGTCCCGACTCCGGAGTCACCAGCTGAATGTAGTATTGATGTGTCGGTCGCGAACGAGCCGATTCTTTTGAACGGCTCTTTGATATGAACGAGGGGAACCGAGTCGTACTTGGTGAGAGCCGTTCTTGTTATCGTTCAATCGTTTGTCCGCACTCACTGCCTGCCAAAATCCACTAGCCTTTTAAAAAGCTTGATTTTTTCCCCAAAACGTATTCTGTGAAGACCCGCCCCTAATCTGACTGTATCTATCTTCGACACGGAAACCCTGTCTGCTCCTCACAGCAGCTCCTCGCGAGCAGTTGCACGTCGCTTGACCAATCAGAGCACACTGGGCTCACAGGGGGGGGCGAGCTCCAACAATCCGTTTAGGACAGAGAGTGAACACCAGGTTTCAGCACGAGGAGTGAGATGGGGTGGGTCTTAACGGAATACGCGAGAGAGAGAAGTCATAACAAGTGGTACAGGACAGGTAGACAACGTGTTTTTCGGATGGAAAATGAGCCAAACGCGGAAACGCAGTTGGATGCTGAAGGCTACATTCAAAATACATTCACTGACATGAATATGGCGCCACCTTTTGTCATGCAGATTATTGACATTAGGTCTGGCAATACAGTCAATCATTATCCTGGTGATTATTTCGCAGATAAACCTAGTAACCCCGCCCCCTTTAAAAAAACGGCTCTTTTGAACGACTCTTTTGAACGGCTCTTTGAAAGGAACGGAGCCATAAGATCCGGCTCCCTTCAAAGAGCCATAAATCCCATCACTAGAATGTAGCCTCTCGTTAGCTTACTGCTTCTATTAGACACCAAAGAACATGTCCCGACGGACCCGATTGTTGTGTCCCCTCACGTCTCCTGCGTCTTGGCTAAAAATTCGCACTGGAACTAGGGCTGCTCGATTATGGCAAAAATCATAATCTCGATTATTTGGGTCAATAATTGATATCACGATTATTAAAAACGATCATCCATTTACTTTGAAAACATCAATTTATTGAAAAAAATTCAATGTAAAACAATATGTTTTTAACAGTTGATTACCCTGAACTTTAAGTATAATTAAACTGAAAAACCAACTAAAAAATAAATAATCGTTTTATTTCGATTATGTTGTTTTCATAATCGTTGCAAGCCAAAATCGTAATTGCGATTAAAATACGATTAATTGAGCAGCCCTAACTGGAACAAACCGCAAAGACTTCAGCAAACAGCCAAGTAGCACGTACGCAATGTGCATGCATGAGTGGCAATAACTCTCCTTACCAGCAAGCGGTGGTAGTGTGTATTCTTAATTCAAAAGAGGCAACCGGAAGACAGACTGCATGATACAAACAACAAATAGCGTGCGTACCATTTTCACTCTCGTCCATCACAGACTGTTTCACATAACGACTTATAATTGAAACATGTTTAGAGCGGTACTGGAAAATGAAAAATAATAGCCGTCTGTGTGTGCCTTCTTCACTTCCGTTTCGCTAAGCTGAACTGCCAATCAGAGTGATTTCTTTGGCCGACGACCTTTGGCCAACAGCGGAAGGTGTTGGCACGGCCGAAAAGACACAACGGTGCTGGACACACCAATCTGAGTAGGGCAACAGGACGCTCATCGACGGCGAGACATCTATAGATGGCCGAAATCGGACCGGTGTGTCCGGGCCTTAAAGGCCGCTACACACCAACCTGAGACCAAAGAACCAAAGGCGTCCCGACTTTTACGTCGCCTGCGTCAGCAATGCCGCCCGCCTACGAACACACCACAAAGACTTCAGTCGACGAGTGGCAATAACTGTCCTTACCAGCAGGCAATGGTAGTGTGTATTCGTCATTGAAAAGAGGCAAGAGCCAATCAGAGTGATTTCTTTGGCCAACCTTTCTTTGGCCGATTCAACATGTTGAATCGGCCGCGGGAGGTGTGAAAATGTGCCGTAAAGCAACAACGGTGCGGGACACACCAACCTGAGTAGGGCGCCGCGAATGCCCGACTGCCTCTGACGGCCTCTGACTCCCAAAATCGGGTAGGTGTGTCAGGGCCTTAAGACTTACAAAGAGAACAAACCCATAACACTGCTGGATGCTTAACTTCATAATATCTCTCAACAAGCTCTGTAGGA